AATGAGTTTATAACAAAATCTACAATTTTCTGTTTAATAACAAAATAGAAATTGTACATTTTCTAGAGACATTACGCGTTTACGTTTTTTGCCCATTACAGGGGAACTGTGATCGAACCGGGTTTGGTTTAACTGGGATAACTCGGTTTATTGTCTCTATCCCCTTTTGTTGTAGTTTTTACTCTGCTCTTTTATTCAGTAAAGTCCAGAAGAATTTAGCTTTATTCAACATAATTTCATCACAAAATCTAAATCCCCCTTGCAACAGAATATTCATTAGACACTAATTCAACAGCTTTTGATAAATCTTTACAGGTCCTATACACTTTCTCGAGTATCTCTAATTCTATACAATTGATTAGCTTTCTTAAGAATACTATTCGACTCAGTATCCCGCCATTGCACAGCTCTGGTTCAAGGCGAAAGCTCGAAGATGGAAATACAAAATTACCTGTCAAGATGTCATCTCCATCGAAAAGGGTAATTACACAACTTATGTAGCTGAAGAGGCATGGCAAAACTTCATTGCACCTGAAATATTACAATTTACAACAATCATGAAGGTTCAATTTTAGTTGTATCCAATACAACATAGATCATGCTGAAGACAATTTAAGTTTCTCCATATACCTCTGTGTCCCTCTTCTCCAAACTGCAACTAGTTGAGATCAAAAGCATCAAAGTAACTCTAATTCCTAATGAGTTTAGCTTCCGGTGTCACCTACTTATACACGGATTCATTTAGTCGAAACCCATCTTCTCTCATTTTCCTAAACAGCGCATCGGCTTCACGAATTAGGCCTCGCCTACAAAATCCCGATATCATTGCAGTGTATGTTACAACATTAGGCTTCATTCCTTTGGAGTTAAGGCTACAAAATAAATCAAAAGCATCTTCCACCTTACCAGCCTTGCACATCCCTTGAATAATGATAGTATATGTAACGATACTAATATCCATTTCTCTCTTTCGCATGTATTCGAATATCATCAATGCTTTCTCTACGTTCCCGTTATAACATAGACCATCTAACAGAACGTTGTAGGTCCTAATATCAGGAGGCACACCACGAGAACCCATCTGATTGAAAACTTCTTGGGCAACATTAGGTTTCCCCACTAGACAATAACCCTGGATAAGAGTTGTGTAAGTGATTGTGTTGGCAACTATTCCTTTTCGAGACATCTCGTACAATATTCTCTTCCCGGCCTCTACCCTCTTAGACTTGCAAAATCCATGTATGAGAGTAGTATAAGTCACTACATTTGGGAAGCAGCCCTTGCTTTCCATCAAACAAAACATTTTCCTAGCCTCATCTAAGCGGCCATACATGCAAAACCCATTGATCAATGAATTGTAAGTGAAAACATTAGGAACCACAGACAACCGGATCATCTCCTTGTACAACTCTTTAGCCTCCAAAAGCTTCCCTCTTTTCACATACGCATCAATCAACGCAGAGAAAGTGATTACATTAGGGTCGATTCTCCTCTTCACCATGTCACTCAGCAGCCAAGCAGCGTCACTCCATCTACCGGAATCACAAAGTCCGGTTACAAGAGCGTTGTAGGTAATAACATTCGGGCTAATCCCATTCGTCTCCATCCGGTTAAAAAGGTCCAACGCGTGATTCACATGTCTGTTTTTGCAAAGACAGTGAATCAATGTGGTGTATGTCACAACATTAGGTCTATATCCCATTTCCAAAATCTGATCAAACAAAGCTATTGCATCATCAATCCTATTCCTAATGCAGAATCCATTAAGCAGAGAAGTAAACGTGACTATATCAGGCTCAAAACCAAGCTTCATAATCTTCCCAAGAAAAGACAAAGCAAGACAAGTTTGAGAAGAACGGCAAACACAATTCATTACAATATTGCAAGTGTACAGAACAGGTGAAACACCAAGCGTTTGTATTTGCTCGAAGAGAGAGACCACATCATCGTACCTCTCCATGTTCGCAATAGCATCGAACAATCTAGTGAAATCGACAATGGAAGGAAGAGGACGAGAGTGAACCATGCGAGTGAACAAATCAAGAGCTTCATTGAAGTGAAGATTGTGAAGATTAGTTCTCAAAATCTGTCGGTAATCAGAAAAATCTCGGAGACAGAAACAGAAACCCCAATGTCTAAAGGAAGAAGCAGTTCCAGATTCTCCTATCTCTGGACGATGATGCTTATAAAGATGAAACCTTTTCGCTATCGACGCAAACCCAGTTGCGATGGATCTACGCATTCACAAATCTATGTCTCATGAGTCATTTTTCTGTAAATTGCGAAACCCTACAATAACACTTTGTGTAGAGAAACAGAGAGAGGAAGAAGACGAAAACCTAAACATAAACACAAGTCTCGCGCAGTCTTGCAACCATTTTCTTTTCTCTTTTTAATTACTGTACTTAATTGGTTTAATTTAATTATATAATTAGATATCTTTGTGATGTAAATTTTGCTTGATCAAGATCAAGAATGCAATAAGAGTACCTATATCACTTGAATTTATCGGCAAAGTAGTTGAATCTTCACGCACATTCTTAGTGTTGGAGTTTGTATTTTGGTTGTAGAATATTACCATGTTATTATCATCACAAAAACTCAGCAACATTTGATAATAACCAGAAGAAACCAACTTAAATATATCGAAAGACTTTTAAGTTGGAAGATTCACATAAAACATTAGCTAGCTCAACAATGGCTTTACACGCCTACCGACATCGAACTGAACTTCAGAAAGACCGGTGATTCCAGCGGTTATCTTCTGACCAACCTTTACAGGTCCTATACCTTCTGGTGTACCTATACATATACATTCACCATCAACAATACTATCTTGAATGTTCTTAGCTATATAGTTCAAATGAAACCACTACTCCGATGTTACAAGTATTTGGTTCAATGCGGAATCTTGAAGATGGGAACATAAATCTACCTGTCAAGATGACATCTCCTTCGAAAAGGGTCATTACAGAACTTATGTAGCTAATGAGGTATGGGACCTTGTAGATCATATCTTTTGTCCAACCTTTTTGTCTTGTCTCATCATCAACCTGTCACATAGATGGATACTCAACAAGGAAATGACATAGCTTGGGGATACAAACATGGCAGGAAGAGGCTAACCTTTAGCCAAAGTTCCAGGTTATTGGGATCCATCACCATTGCCTTTGGTAGCTAAAACCCCACACACAAAAAACGAAATTCAAGATAAGAGGCCAAAAGTGTGTTTGCTTTCAGTAGCTAATAGGTTATGTTTGTTTCGCATATTCACATATCAAGCATCCCAATCTCAGTAATACATAAAACCCCCGTGGACGCAATAACACTACGCAATCTGCTATGATCCTAGTTGCATATGCCATGATCTCGGAAGAAAGTAAGTGACAGTCTTCACATGGTTTAGTGAAACTAGCATTTTGGGAAAGAGGTTCCAGATCATGACTTACAACAGAGCTGATGGGAGTGAAGGTATCCTGTCCTTTAGCAAGCGTACATGGGAGACCAGATGCCTGAAGAAGAGAATTTAAACACCCCCATTATACATGATATATGCTTAAGTAAATAATTGCATACACAGTTATATTCTCAAGCCATAAGAGGACTGATGCGTCTGCAAAGACCTTGCAAATCTAAGATTTTTGTTAACAGGAAAGCATGGATAAAAAAGGCATGGAATCAATTGGCAAACATATGTTATGATCCCAAATAGGAAAATCTCGACCAATATTCCGCATACGAACTTACGGAGACCTTCTCTATAAAATGGCAAAAAGAAGGAGAAAAATTAACATGGAAAGTGAAAACTATGAGTGTGCGCAATCCTGAAAAAAGATCAATTGGTACCAAAGAAAAATGGCTATCTACCATGGCAGAAGCGTGGATTTCCCTAGCAGTCATATCAAGAGCAACCGCATATCCTAGAAAATAAGGAGAAGTAAGAACATCATACATATTAAAACGGAAACAAAAACTAAAATGCAGAACAAGGTCACAGACAACAGCTATGTAACATAGACTTTAATTATGCATCACCAAGTGTATTTCAAGTTAAAGACTTTAATTCTCTATATCAGCGAGGTTGCTCATGAGTCATTTTAATCAAATAAGTTAACCATCAAGAAGCTCAATTCGCAATTTTCAAGGAGATGCAGAACAAACATATATATGAGCAGCTAGTAAAACTACCYCCAATGTAATCCATAGCTAACCGTTCAGGAACATCTCTGGCCTTGTGTCCAATTACTATAGCGAGTTCCACCTCATGGTGAAGTGAATCCAAAGGATGTGGGATCTCAATTGTTCCACCGTTTTCCAGGTACGACGAGGTTGGTTTCAAGAACACAATCGGGTCCTACTTCCAGTACATTACAAACACAAACAAATCAAGACCAAACGATGCAAGAAGAGGATCCACTTGTATACTAAAGATCTCGTGAAGCAACAACAGAAAGTTGGTACCTTTGGGAGGGCGTTGCCTAGTTCTTTGGCGTGTGAAGCGTAATTGAGACCAACACCGACGATCTTCGTGCCTTGCTTGAACAACCTTTGAATCATCGAAGTCGCCATTTTTAGGTCAACTCAAAGTCAAACACTGACCTTCTCTGTTTCGTTTTTCCCTCTTTCGTCTGAAAAAGGATTGGGATTTGTTGTTGACTGAGTTACCGAGTCCGCTCGAAGGGACCAACCAAGGGTCATAATAGAAAGCTTTGGAAAGTTAGTGGCCAAAAGTATAAATTATTTGAAATGTTTGGACCTACTGCAAATAATTAAGCAGCCGCGTGATTCACGAGAGGACAGTAGACACCACGACGTGGAATTTTCAGGAAAACTGCAAATCGCAGTATCAAATAAAATTGTGAAAAAAAGCAAAGGAAAGATTCATCAAAATCTACAAAAACTGATTAATATATTAATTAATAGTTCAGTTCAGTTCAGTTCAGATCTAAAGATTTTTTCCCTATATAAATTATATTATTTGAAGGTAGATGAACTTCTATATAAAAATGGTTGCTATTGGTAGAGGAAAAATTACTAGTTGAAAATAAAATATACTCATATTCTCCAAGTTTATACCAGTCAAAGAAAAAGTCGAGGAAAAATAAATCTGCTGAATTATTCTAAAAGTAAGTAAAATCAGAACAAGATATTCCTCTACTTCAACCTAGTAGAAAAATTTCTTCTGAAATTAC